GTTACTTACTCAATCATCATGAAATCAGTACATTTCTTAATTTGAAGATGTAATCAGATATAGATTTACAATCATCATTCAACAGACTGATTTAATCAGAATCTGTATATCTGATCAGTATGTATGTCACATTCAGAAATTCATTCTCAGATTTCTCATCATCATTCTTTGTGTAGAATATATCAATCTCACATATTTCTTTCAAATATTGAATAATGTGTAATAGAGTCTTTCATATCTTAGAAGTAAGAGCAGTGTTCCTCTGCATCAGTAGAGATGCTGTGCAGATAATATTCAGCTGCAGCTTGATAGCTAAGTATTGCAGACATCTGATATTGTACTGAAATTGTTGCTTTGTAAAATCACTTTCTTTTTCAGAAATAAAGAAGTCATCTAGACATAGATTCTCATTCATGAGTATACAGATAGCAGTCATGTCATCTAGATGAAAATCTTCTATCAATTAATTAATATAATATGAGAGTGTCAATTTGATTCTGCTCTTTATATATTTCACTTTTATCTCTAGATATTTTGTGAATTTCTTTAAGTCTTTAATCTCTAGTTTTTATTATAAAATGTTAACAAGTTAATCAGTATTCTTCAGAGCACCTGCAAAGATATGAAGATCATCAATATATATGATTATATACAGGTGTTTTCAGGCTGAATGCTTTCAAAGAGTAGGGTCATAAGAACTCAGACTGAAGTCATTTTCTCACAGTATAGTTATCAAGTAGTTCTATTATATTTTAACAGCTGAATTCAATTTATATAGAGATTCTTCAACTGCACAGATGAGTGTACACTGAGCTTCTTATTCAAAGTCTGTGAATTGTCTTATATAAACTGTTTTCTCTAATCTATCATGCAGATATGTTATTACTATATTCACTTATTATAGAATTCAATCACACTTTGCAGTGATTATAAATATCATTCAATTTATTATATCTATAATTATAAAGATGTAAGTCTTCTGATAAGTGTCTTTCTTCAATCAGTTATTATATATGATTCATTGAGATTTTCATAATATATCATTCTCATAAGCATTGGAATTATCAGAGCAGTTCTTTTCAATAAATACTCAGTGATCAGATGTCACTGATTCATCATATAAGATATCAGAATGTGAAATAAGTGGTCAGATCTTATATTTCTCAAGATTAGATATTTTATATTGTATTGATTTCTTTCAATAATCTTCTATTCTCTCTGATCTACTCATAGCATTCCTGTATGATTTCAGAAGAGAACTGGTAATGAGAATGAGAGTGTAAGCTGCAAATGCCTTCATAGACCGCATTCAATTCATATTCATTAATTTGAAAATGTTAGAATTCTTCATCAAATAGATGATAGAAACAGTGTCAGTTGCTGCAGTTATAGTAGTTGTAGTAATCTTCAGCATTTCTTACACTTTTGCAGAAAAAATCACATCACCTGTATCAATAATTTTATCTGTTGTAGAACTTCATAAGTAATAGGTTGAATATCCATGAAATCTGATAAGTTTATATGAATCAGTCTATGCAGACAACTTATTCAATGACTTCTATAATTCATGAAGATGAGTAAAAACATCAGTTTTAAGCTTGCAGAAATGTGTGATCTGCAGCAGAGTGTTTATCAATACTGAAAAAGAAATTGTATGAGAGGTATAAACAGCCTCTTTACTATCATCATCTGCAACTACAGATTAATACTTTTCATTATATAGAACTGTAGATATGAGTGTATTATTTATGATTGAAATAACTGTTTTCAGAATATTTACTCAGAATTTCTTTGAGATCTCCTTGTCAATGAGAACTGCTCTGACGCAGGCCATAATCATATGTATTCTGTGCTCAGACACATCATCTTGATGTGATGATTAAGAAGTAGTTAGTTCTCATACTGTGTTATAATTGATGAATAATGCTGTAATCTTTGTGAATCTGAACATATCATTAATATTAGTTCTGACATATACTGATGCAGTAAAACCTAGGTTCTTCATGAATTAAACTCAGTATGTATAGTAATTGTAAGTTTAGTTCTTGATATGTAAGAAATAGATTCATCTATATCTGGTCATATCATCTGTGATTAACATGTAATATTTATTACTCTGCTGTGATTCAACAGAGTGATCTGTAGACTCACTCAATGTCCGTCTGTCACCTGCAAGATTGATATGAATCCGCTTCATTGATTGTACAGCCTGTGGCATGAAGATGATTGAGTATTTACATATTATACCTGCTTTAATGCAGATGTCACAAAAGAAATTGACCTTGATGTCTTTGACACAGATGTTAGATAGTGAATTCTTTGTCAATACTATAATAGCTTCTATATATATATGTTTCAGATCAATATATCACTCTGCAAGTGTTTTCACAGTTGTAGATGATTCTCAATATTGAGATTGATTATCAGTAAGATTATTATCATCAATAGTCATTATCACTTTAGCATAGTCATTATCATATACATATGATTTCACTGTGAAGTAGACTGCTTTAGACTTATAATGTACATCAACTTCTGACATTGTTTCAACTATTTTATAAATTGAGTTCTAAGATATATGAATTGCAGTGAAAATCACTTCACTTGATACTTTAATGATGAAATAGAATGAGATGTTTGAGCTTAAAAGCATATATTGAAAACTCTGATCCTCTAACCTGATAAATGACAATAGATTGACTGTGAGATTGAGAATATAATAAACATCACACACAGTGATATTCTCTTCTTCAGATTCTAGAAGAAGATCACTGATCTCTTTGATATGACTGTAATCTCTGTCTACTATATAAATCTTTATATTGTGATTGTATATCTTTCACTGAATGAGAGACTGCTTTTCATCTGTTATGTGAAAACTTACACATGTGTTAAGAAATTAAGGCTTGCTTATTCTATCAATAGTTACTGAAAAAGCAATTACTGTATTGACAGCTCCAGATTATAAGATCATAAGATCAGAGAATTTCTTCTTCTTATTCTCTTTGTTCTTCTTTTTACCCTTTCACTTGCTGTGTTCACTGATACTGATATTATTACTATTGTTCTTCTCAGATATAATGATATATTTCTTATTTAACTCATATCACTGTTCAGTAGCAAGTTCTGAATGCAGATGATAACAGACATTTTTTCAGTATTATCTTGAACTGCATATCTCATATTTGAAACTGTATATAGATAAGGTAGTAAGAGTTATAATTATTATATTGACTTACTAAGACTTAGAATGTTCATTCTTGAACTTTCTTGTATAGTTTATCAACTGTTTCATGAGATTATTAATATTAATATTGTGTATAGAGTTCTGATCAGACATGTAGAAATCATCTAAATATATCTTGATAAAAGACTTTTAATACTTCTTCAGATTAATAAGAAAGAGATTATAATAGAAGTCTTCAGAGTTATTTATCAATTTCTTATAATATATAACTAGATAATGAAATCTTCTCTGAAATATCAGATAATTATTATTTTTGATATATAAGATAATCAATTCTTTCACAATATTCATACATTTCTCTGTAAATGAGACAGTATATTCATCTTCAATTCTTTTTCATAGCATAGCTGCATTATCTGGCTCAAGAGTTTCAATGATTGTATATACAGACTCTAACAAGAACTATAATATACAGTGATACAGTGCTTTGATACAAATGCTTTATTTATCAGTATTTAACACATCTTAACTGATGTCTTCTGAGCAGACTTATTAATTTTTTATAAGAATGTCAGATCTGCTGATAACTTCAGTATCTGTAAGAATTTCTGTACATCAGATCTCATAGTTATTATTATTAAATATAATTACAGCTTTGATATTTATAGCTTTTTAGACATTCTTTTAATATTTATAAATCTCAGATTTGAAATCATCTGCTGCAGAGATAACTACTCAATACATACTTATTCTATCACAGAATATTATCAGATTATTAAATATTATTGATATTATATTATCTGAACTCATTCTAAATATGATACTTATATGTCACACTTCTGTACATATTGCTTATGAACTTGAAGTGCTATTATCTGATTCATGATTTACTCTGCTGTTTATAAATGACTTCATAATCTCCTCTGTAGCTTTTATATATTATATAGTATTTATTTTCTCTGATTCTTCATTAATAGATGTCTGAGTATAAGAATATAAATGTAAAGTTCTTCTTCTATCACTCTGTGATGTAGGCATATCACTCATCAGTCAAAGAAGAGTTAAATGAAGAAATTGAAAAAAAAAAAAAAAAAAAAAAAAAAACATGTTATGTTATACTGTAGAGTTCTGCTATTTCAATTGCTGACTAAGCAGATACACTCAAAACATGCAATGTAAATGTGGTAAAAGAATTCTTCTATTCAGAGTGAACACATTCAATACTTGTACAGATGTTTTTAAATAAAAGTAAGAAAAAAATAAAAATAATGTAATCCTTTGTAAAAACGTGCTATTCAGGCTATAACCTGTGGGAAGGTTAATCCATTGTATTCATGTAGGAAGAGCTAGCCATATATATATTACATATGAGATCACGTGTAGGCGGAGCGGTCGCTACGGCAACGCCACTAGGGCGGATGCTACAGGATATGTGTGTGGGTCACGTGGGTCACGGCTTGTGTAGTAGCTCCAACAGTTGGCACGGTTATAGTACTATGTATCATACCACCTGGTATTACTTGCAACTTTCTTCCGTTCCCTCAAACCTCGTATTTATGTAAGTTTACGGCCTTGGGGATCGTGAACTTTGGTAACTGAGTTTGAATTTCTTTCTGTCGCCTTTCTCCTTTGGTCGATTTTCGTACGACGGTTGGGCTTGGATGGTAATTGTGTTTATAAAGGCACATATTCACTCTATCGCAATCTATGTGAACATTTCCTATCTTTTCACTGGTAAGTTACAAAACTTTTTGTTCCCGTACGTATGTCGTTTTTTCCCTCTAGAAACCGCCAGGAAAACATATACAAAACGGTATCATCACATCGCATTCAAATCACCATCCTCGGCCATCCGGTCCCGATAGAACCCCGCCACCAAAAACGCCAACTCCAGCGCTTGCTTCTCATTCAGTCTCGGGTCGCAGAAAGTGGTATAACGCTCACGCAACCCATCCTCCGTCAGGCCCGCCGCACCACCGACACACTCCGTCACCGCCTCACCAGTCAGCTCCAGGTGCATACCGCCCAGAAACGAGCCCTGTGCGCGATGGATCTCTAACGCCTGCCGCAGTTCAGACAAGATATCTTTGAAATGGCGAGTTTTGAGACCCGACGGCGTGGTGAGTGTGTTGCCGTGCATGGGATCGCATTGCCAGACAGGCATATGACCCGAGGACTGTACCGCCTTGATGTGTCCAGGTAGGTACGTGGCGATTTTCGATGCGCCGTAGCGTGATATCAGGGTTACTTTGCCAATTTCCTTGTCTGGGTTGACGATGTTGAGGAGCTCGATGAGTTCGTCTGGGTCCATTGATGGGCCGATTTTGATGCCGATGGGGTTGGAGAGACCGCGGAAAAATTCTACATGGGCACCGTCGGGTTGGCGTGTGCGATCGCCTATCCAGAGGAAATGGGCTGAGGTCGCGTAGTGGCTGTTTGATGGGAAGGGGGAGGAGGGAATGGTTCCTCCTATTGGGAGGGTGTGTTTCGATCCTGGCTCTGGAGGATCACGGCAGAGTCTGGTGAGACTCTGCTCATATTCCAGCATTAAGCCTTCGTGGCTGGTATAGATGTCCACGGTCTCGATTCCGCGGTCTGTGTCGAGACCTACGGTTCTCATGAAACGCAGCGAGTCTGTTACTCTGGATACGATTTGTTCATATTTGTCTTTTATCGACGGCGTAATTACGTGACCAAGTCCCCAGTCCAGTGGAGAGTGTAGATCAGCTAGACCGGATGAAAGAGCTGCTCTTAGATAATTTAGAGTTGCGGCGGAATGGAAGTACGCAGAAACTAGGCGTGATGGATCAGGTTTCCGGGAAACGGGATCCGCTTTAAAGCCATTGATATTGTCACCACGGAATGCAGGCATGGTCACGCCGTTGACGGTTTCAGTCGTGCTTGAACGAGGCCTTGATGACTGTAAGTATTATATGAAAGCAATGCACAGCGAGAGATTCAACTTACTTGGCGAATTGACCAGCCATCCGAGCAATTCTTACTACTGGTTTATTTGCACCTATTTGTAGAGTGAGCCACGAAACCGAAGTTAATAGTGGTGTTCAGAATCATACCCCAGATCAAAATCAAACTCATCTGCAAAAGCAATTTGATCTTCGACTCAATTGTTGCTTGATTGCAGTAATCAAAGAGTTCCGCACAATCGCCTTCCCGGCGCAATGTCAGTTCACCGAAGTGTTATATAATGTTTCATGAGGTATATAAAATCATAGGGGTCCCGTTACTCACCCCCCTGAAGAACAAAAGCCCTCCCAAGGGCTACTTTTCTCAGGCATTGTTTCAACTCAACAATCTGGGCCGGGAAGTTAGCATCTTTGATTAGCACAGTTTCTCCCGCGTGCATGGTTCATACCTCCTGGGGAGTCACCAATGGAGGTAGACACTGAAGCTCAATCAGGGCCTTTTTCAAGCCTTCCTTATCTTCGTACACCACCTCTTGCTTGATGGGTTTTGTTGTCCATGCTGTTCCATATTGTCAACTATCATGTACCAAACAAAAAAGACAAAAAAAAAAGGCTAATTTCAAATGGGGCATACAAGATGGAGTCCAAGCATCTTTGGGCAGCTGTTGTTTCATGGCGGCAGGCATGTCGAGTTGGTAGATCTCTTAGATTGAGAGGCGCGGATACCCCGCCAAAACGCAGATAGGGCTGATATGACGCTGGTTCGACGCTAGGTGTTTCTCAATGTCGCAAGATCAATGATCGAAATATTGCTTCGAGCTTTGTAACATTAATGTTACTCTACAACGAGGAGAAAGCAAAAGGAGTGTCGGGGGGTGATGGAAGCGGATATATAAAACCCGCTGGCAACCGCGTAACACTGATATACGACAGAGAGCACAGCCTCTCAACCGGGCTGCGTATATATGATTTCTTAACAAATTTTCTTGCGAAGGAAAAGACGTTGGTTGTTGGGGAAAATTTGTCTCGAACAAAATTTGGGCCGTGGATACTTTGACCAGACTGACCTGGTGAGTCAGCAAGCTGGCCTGGTGGCGGGGTTAAAATTAGCAGTTCCGCTCCTTCCTTCGACCTCCAAGGTATGTATAACATACGTTGTCGCTATCAACCGCGGTCAAGAGTGAACCTCAGAGAATTTAGAATATGTTTTGTGAAATAAAGACCAGCTCAACTGTTCCAAAGACTCACGTAATCCACCTCCCCCATACGGAGTACAGACCCCCTTTCCCGGCGACTTAAACTTGAGACTAGCTATGGCTGCCTCGAAACGTCGGAACCATCCAGCTGCGGAGCCTGGTCCGGACAGCCACAACAACAGCGATGATAATAATATTAACGGCGAATCAGCTTCTGAGCTTCCTACAAATGCTGAGGACCGTGCCGCGGCGGCTGCGCTCTCCTCTCTCAACACCGCCAATGAAACTTCCGCCTCCGAACACGACAGAGACGTCCCCGCGGGAGCGGTTGTTCCCTCTGCAGCTGACCAAGAGGCTCTGGGTAAGGCGATGAGCAGGTTGGAGATTATCGCGGGGATGGGGAAAGCTGGCGGTTCAAGTGCAGGTGCTGCTATGGGGACTGGGAAAAAGGATGCGGAAGTGAAGAAAACTAAGGCCGAGGAGAAACCGGACGCGGGGGAGGTCGAGAAGGCGGTGAAGAAGAAGGTGGTAAAGGTTACGGCGGAGGATGTTGGGCTCTTGGTAATTTTTTTTTCTTTTTTTTTTTTTTTTTGGTCTCTTTTTCTACCTGGGTTATCATAGTCGTTTGCTGATTGATTGGATGTAGGTGGATCAGCTTGATCTTACAAAAGTAAAAGCTACGGAACTCTTGAAAACACACGAGGGAGACTCAATCAAAGCTATTCGCGCATACATTGCTCCTCCGGCAGCGTGATAACAGGGAACAAGGAATGGAAAATCGTTCGATGGATAAGGCCTATCAGCGTCATCAGATGTCTCGGCTCCGTCAACCTAGGACATATTAAGGCATTACCTTCAATTTAGAAAGGCGTCAACACTTGGGGGACATGGACACAGTCATTATCTCAGTGATCCTAGGGCCTTTGGAGGACGCAATGCACTACAATCATGAATAACTGGGGAATATGTCTCCCACCTTCCAAAGGGACGTACATTTTGTTATATGGTCCATTTCCAGGGTTCTTTCATAAATGAATGAGCAAGACTCAGAGGACCCGGACTCAGAAGACCCTGACACTATACAGAAGTATATTCGGTAGCAGAGTATGACGACGTTGACCAACAGGAAGCATCCTTTTTGTGTGTTTTGGAAGATCCATGTATATGATTTAGCTACTACGGGTATAACTTCGAGGTCATTAGCGTTCCGTATTTCCAAGAGATCAACATATGTATCCCATTATCCCAATATGACAATCCAAGTAGATAGACTAAAAAACATATATAAGTAGTGCAGCATTTCCATAATCATAGTCTCATCATAAGATCAAGGTCCAATGTCATAATTAAAACGGACCTACGATATACCTCATCTGCTCCTTCGATGCTCGGAACCTCCAGTTGCATGATTTTGTTCGAGTTTTTTCTCTTCAATCCCACGGCCCTCGAATATAGTCCAAGTAAGGCCCCATCCCAAAAACGCCAGAACTGCAAGAGCCCACCAAACCGCACCAAAAATATTATATTTGAGCCCCATCCCCACGCCCCAACCACCAATCACGGGACCCAGCGTCCTAGCACAGCTGACCACGCTCTGTGCAACCCCATGTAATGTACCTAACACGGTCGGATCCGAAACAGTATTGTTAACCAGAATAATACCCGCAGGGAGCGCAAATGTTCTCGAAATAACCTGGAGGGAAAAAACTGCTGCCAGAGCTGGCCAGATGAGATATGCGCGGTTCGGCACGAGAGTTAGGAATGGAACCAAGACATAGGCAAGAGGGGAAAACGGTATAAATGACCGTAGCGACTTTAGCGTCCCTAGACGGAAGTGAACGCGTGGATAAACCAAGATCTGTAGTGGGAGGCCGAGAAGGCCGATGATGGCGGTCGCGAAACCGACTTTGGAGCTCGGCATGCCGAGACCGCCGCCGAAATGGAAAAACCCACGGCGGCTTCCTTCGGGGGCTCGAGGTGTGGGTAAGAAGACGAAAGTCAGGGCGTTAAAGGAGCTGAGGTGCATGGCGAGGACGAAATGGGTGAGAAGCGTGAGTATGACATTCCGTGTCCAGATTTGACGGAAAGGCATGCGTTGCTGTCGGGGTGCCCGGGCTGAGGAAGGTGTTGCTGGCACTGATCCTTGTACGCTTCTCTCCAGATCGATGGATTCTCCTGCGGTCTCGACATCATAAGTTCCGTCGATTGGGTGATAGTTATGCGAGGAACGACCGTATTTAAAGTATCCCCATAATGCTTTACCCGCTTTTCGGCCCCAGTCGCTGCGATACTTAGCTGATTCATGAGTCTGCAAGAGAGGTTAGTCAAGGGGGTACAAATTCAAAGGAGTTAGCGCGCATAGAAATGAAGCCCACCTCGTCCAATCCAAGGATAACAGCTAGCGTAGAGATCAGGACCAATATCGCGCTTATTAGATTTGGTAGCGCATATGGCCACTTCTGCATCCACCAGACGCCGTGTTGGCCCCCAAAGAATGAACCCGGCCCGAACAGACCTGGATAGTTACCCAGAGGATCAGCGAGAAGTCCACCTAGTATAGGTCCTATTACAACGCCGATATTAAAACACATTGGCTGGAGCAAGAAGGCCCGAGATTGGTATCTAGCACTCTATTAGCCAGCGATTCTCTAGGACTCGGCACTTGGCCATGTTGCCGTTCGGAGCTTTATCATAGTTTCACAAATGGGCAAACGCACTTTCTCTCCACGATAAGCTCTGCAATCATGGTCCGCATGACGCCGATGTTGCTGTTCAAGGCGCCTCCCATAGTGCGAAATATGGCAGCAGCGACGAAAGACTGAGAAAATCCAAATCCCACACACATAATAGACGCTCCAAAAAGGCCTGTTGCAAGCACCCTTTTCCTTCCCATGAAATGAGTGTCTGCAAGTCGGCCCCAGATCATGGCTGTCACAAACTGTGCTGCAGTGAAGCAGCCCTGTAGGAGACCAGCTCGGGCAGATATCGCGGAGTCCGGCAAGTGTGGGTCGAAGGACTTGAGTTGGTAGAAGAGATACGCTTGTAGGGAAGTTTGGGTGAGCGGCTCGGACAATCGAGCAATGGTTAGAATGGCCAGTTGGCTTTTGTTTGGTAAAGACCGCCATGATACTGGGTTTTCATCGTCCCGATTATTCCCATTTGACCTCGAAATATTCGCCGCGCTTGTCTCGCCCTCCTCAGCCAAGGATGGCTGTGTATCCCAAGAACTGGAAAGCTGCAAAGCAGCAGGTGAGTGGCCTCTTCTTATCCGCCCATTGAAACCATTTTTCCCTAAAAGATGACCGTGAAGGTCAGTTGTATCTCCGCTCAATTGTTCCAAACTTGACGAATCGGCATCTATATTTTCATATATATCACTCTGGGAGCTCTCCCTATCAACCCCAACTGCTGCAATGGAATCATCGTCATTCTCGCGAGCATTGGCCCCTACGCGGGACGCTACATTTCCATGTAAGATAACAGGAGGGGAGCGACGTTGGGGCGAGCTCATCCACAGAACCGAAATGCCGAACTCGCTGATTAGATAAATACAGGCAGACAGTGACTGGCAACGTTCCTGTGCCACGACGTCCAAGTATTTTGTATTGGGATAATTGTCTAGGTGAAGCCCGTGTCTTTGTCTCCTTTGTGATGTGTATGAAGATAGAAAGGAGGTGAAGCGTAAACTCACCGTCGTGCGGAGAAATATGACAACTCCAGCCGGTCAATCGCTATTGCCGAACGGAGAATTTCATGGTGGCGGATGACTAAGTAACTACAGTAGTTACGGCAGTCTATATTGACAAATGTGTCAAATTGCTATTTTATACAAGTTGTTCCTGTTGGTGATTACTACACCTACCCTAGTAACATGCCACCCCAACCCATTCATTTAGTGTAACTCGCGTAGTTAGATTACAACATAACAACATTATCCTTCAAGAGGTTATGAAGCCCTCTACACAAAGAAAAGCTGCAAAATAACATACAATTGACATCTTCACATGTCATTACAAGCATGCCTAGATGATTTATTGAGTGATTGAACTCATGATTAATCTAAGATCTGAGGGGACACCTGACTTAGCAAAAGAATACATGTCTCTAAGACAGAGAAATGAGAAAACATCAGAGCAGCAAATGCAAGATCACAGATCACTGTTAATATTAATAATGAATCAGAAGACAGCTTCTGAGATGTTTAAACTAGATAATACAATTGTGAAAGAACAGTCTGACAAGTTCAATAATAAATATAAAGACTCAGTTAAGAACATCAGTGAGATGTCAGATAATACAGAGAGCTCAAGTGATCAGAATAATAATAACTCTGTGAGTAAGAAGACTTATATAAGACTAGAAATTACAAGACTTCAGCATGAAGTCAAGCAAATGAAGATAGATAGAGATAAAAATGAAGAGCTCAGTACAGATTTAATAAACTATCTTTAATAGAAGAGTAAAACATCTGTATTAATAAAGATTCTTAATAAATTCAGAGATTAAGTAAGATCTATAAAGAAGTCTGTTATACTCACTAACTCTGTAAATTATTCTATATGAAAAGAAGAGATTCTGTTTACAGTAAGATAATCTGAAACAGATAATATTCTTAATAATAAGTAGATTAATTCTAATAAGAATATCAGTATGAATATATAACATTTTTAATCAGAACAGAATATCTGATTATATAACTATATATAGTCTGCAATCACTCTGCAGGTCAAATCTTACTTTATTATACTTAAGAAGTCTTAACTATCTGCTTATTCTCTATAATCTATTATAGAGAATAATTTCACTAAGAGATCTGCTATCTGCAGAACTCATCTATTTCAAGAATTAATTAAGATAATATTAAAATTAAAGAGTTCTGATCATATATTTATCAAACATTTAATTACAATCAGAACTGATTATATTCAATTGAAATATAATATCAAAGATTTCATGTTTTTCAACAGACTTCTTACAGAAGTTAGTAAAGATTAATCATCTTTTATAAAGAATTGAATGAATGTAATAGAGAAGAATGAGAACACTAGAACACTTGAAGATAATTTCATAAGATTGTATCAAGATATTCTTCTATAATTATCAGCTACTAATGAATCTCTCATCTCTGATAAAAAGATCTCTGCAAATAATACTCAAGATTTCAACAGAAAGAATAGAAAGAAGAAGAAGAAGATCTCTGAGAATAAGAACAAAGATTTCATCAAGCTGAATAGAAAGAGTAATAATGCTATTAAAACATGTTATTATTATCAGAAGATTGATCATATTTAAACAGATTACTGATTGAAATTTTCTGAAAAACACTCTACTAGCTGCAGTAAGAATAAGAATAAGAATAAGAATAAAACAGGCTCAGTATCAGTTCATAATATCATTGAGTAAGTATTTCATATAATAGAAACAGTCTATTCTACTGATTAAACTGACAAAGATATCTGGGTTCTGAACTCTGAATCTGGTGCTCATGCTACATCTTGCAAGAATCTCATATCAATAGTGCTGTAGAAGGTTAATATCATATTGAAGATGACTGACAGATTAACAGCTCTCACAACAGCTATAGAAAAGATGAATATATCAGTTAAAGAAGTGAATCTGCTGCTGCAGAACATCTGCTACATTCTCAAGCTGAAGATAAATCTTATAAGTTTTGAGAAGCTTATACATCAGAGCTATACATATAAGTAACTGATCTATGAAAACACTCATTCAATCTTACTAATCTCTTCTGACAAGATATTGAGTTTTACTGTCAAATTGAGTGATAAGAATATCTACATTCTGAAAAAACAATCAATAACTAGAGACTTGATTCAATTTATAATATTAAATAATGAATTTGAATCTGTGAAAATTCTACAGTTTGTAGAGAAAAAAGATTCTCTGCTAGCATTGCTCAATAAGAATATCAAGATTATTGAACACATAATGTTATAATAGCATCAAAACCTTAGTCATCTCAATTTCATGAATATCACTAAATTAGCAGCAGATTCATGAGTGAGAATGAGAATCAAGAGTGACAGAGCTTTATCATTCTATAAGATCTGTGTACAGATAAAAATAACACATTCAACATTTATATCAATGATAAGAACTGTCAAATTTACAATGAGATTCTTTATAAACCTTGCAGATGATGACTGTACACTATATAATGAAATTAATCTCTCTACTCATGAGAGAGCTAATTATTGAATGAGTATTACAGATAATGTCACACACTACAGATGAATTATTTCTATGATATCAAAGAGTGTGATCACTGTGCATTTGATAATCTTTATTAACAGAATTGAGATTACTACTCAACATTGAATTGAGACTTTACACTGAGATGACAGAGATGAATTTAAAAGTAATGAATTAAAGATCTACTATCAGTAGAAAGAAATCACATATAAGATCACTACATCTGATACATCACAGTTTAACAGCCCTGCAGAATATATCAATTATATTATAGATGAAAAGACAAGAAGCTTACTATTCAATAGCAGACTTGTAAGAGAACTTTGAAATAAAGCTATTCAAGTCATAGTCATGATAATCAACATATTCTCAACATTAACAAAGATTTACAGATGCTAGAGAGAGACCTCATTATTCTCTTTTAAAGCTTGAACAGGTGTTCAATCTTCTGCTCATTGAATATGCAGATGAGATTGTAAGATGTATAAGAAGAATCTGAAGATTATCAATAAGCTTATGAATAGAACTGACAGTAAGTAATGATAATTAGTTGAATATCAAGAACTGCATTAATATTATATCTGAGACTCTGCAACTCAAAAGCTTGAGATTGTAAGAGATATTGTTTTTAATGAAGAATTGACAATAGAAGAAGCACTGATGAATGTCATTAGAGAAGCAGTCAAACTGTCAGAGAAATTGAATATTCTTGACACTATGAAGAGATGACAGCACTGTCTTCTAAGAAGACTCACAAAGAATAAACCTGATATTTTAAAGATACTTGCTGATGATGATATGAACAGCACACTGAAACTGACATATCTACTAGATAATGAGACAGAACTTGTTAATAATGATATAAATGACTCTGTGAATAATAAAGATTCTGTACTCAGTGTTCTTAATGATCATTCAATCACACTGACAGAGGTCAAAAGAAGTCATGACTGGGAACATTGACATCAGACAATGAGAAAGAAAGTGGAAACTTTTGAACAGAAGAAGATATATATTATCATTGAAAAGACCTCAGAAATGAATATTCTTACAGATAAATGAGTGTACAATCAGAAGTTGAATAACAAGGATAAAATCATTCACTTTAGAGCTTATTGAGTGATTAGAGAATTTCTACAATAATAAGATATTTATTATAATAAGTTATATACAGCAGTGATGTCTGAATCTACATCACAGAGCTTATTCACTATATCAACAGTAAGAGATTGAAAAGTCAGATTGATTGACTATGTATCTGCATTTTTGAATGAGATATTGCCTCAGAATGAGATGATATTTATGCAACTACTCACAGAGATTAAACACAGTTATGGTGAATTAGTAGGGCTTGTATATCAGAGCTTATACAGAATGAAACAGACAGCAAGAACATGATATTTCCTTGCAATAGAATACTTGATAAATCTAGAATTCAAGATCTCATCTTATAACAGTGAATTTCTTTATCATTCAATTCACAAGTTATTCTTGATACTACATGTCAATGACTGTCGAATCACAGGATCTGAAGAGAGTGAAATTGAGTGAATTTTGATGAAAATCAGAAAAAGATTCAAGACAAAAGAAGTCAAACAGGATAAACCTTACCTGAGAATGAAGATTAAATACCAGAGAAATGATAATCTAGCAGTTACACAGAGCTGTTATATTGAGAAGATTCTTGAAGATTTTGACATGAATAAGATAAATTCTGCAGAGATCTCTATGATAACAGGCATATAACTGAAATTTTCATCTGATGAGAATGATGCATTGAATGACAACTTTACAGCTATAAGATATCATCAAGAATTGAGATCATTGCAGTATTTAGTCTCAAGCAGTTAGTTAGATCTGGCATTCACAGTCAACTATCTCTTGTATTTTAACTCATGTTCATACAAAGCATGTTGAGCAGTGTTGAAGCATGTCCTACATTATGTCAAGAAGACAAAAAACCATGACATATTGTATAAGAAGAAGATAGAAGATGGCCTGAGTTCTGTGATATACTGCAATTTGAACTGAACAGGGGTGAATTCTCAGTACAAATCAACTATCAGCTATATTATATTGATTAATGAGTCATCAATCTTATAGCAGTCACAGAGACAGACATATATTATCAAATTAATCACAGAAGCTGAATATATTGTAGCTAGTAAGACAGCTTATGAGATAATCTGATTGAATGATATGTTATATAACACTGAGTTAATAAATAATGAAAAAGTGAAAATATGCTCACATCTATAAGTTAATAATAAGAGAGCAATTAATCTAGCAAAGGAAGAATTCTTAATATGAAGATCATACTACATTGAGATTAGATATCATATTCTTCATGATTTAATTGAAAAAGAGAAAATCATGATAAAATATATTGATTCTACAGTGAACATAGCTGACAGACTCATCAAGTCACTGGCAAAGCCTGCATTTGAAGAATTTGTCAAGAGAGTTAGCATTCAGGAAATTGAGAAGAAGAAATGATTGAATGATAATAATGATACAGCAGATCAATAGATTTT